GTATTTTGCCCTTGTTCCATTTGTCCATATGTGCAGTTCTCATGTTCCATTTCTTCTATAGGTCCATCAAGTACATTTTCACTTTCTTCAGTATTGTCACTTCTGAACATATCTTCTTCATTTTCATCTCCTTCAATATTGTCCCTTTCAATTTCATTCACCTCTTCCCTTTCTTCACTTCATGGTAGATTGCTGTACACATTTTGCTGAAAATAAATTAAAATAAGAAAATGTAAAGCAAACAACTGAGATGAATAAAACATAATAAACATGCAAGTTACCTGTTGAAATAACTTTCTTCTGTATTTAGTTTTTCTTGAGATTGAAGTGTCTGGATGGAGAAATTTTTTGTAGGACGATTTTGTCTTTGTCTGCAAAACATTCATCGCAATAAGAACATATCATTTAAGTCTGTCCACAGCAAGCTCTGGGCCAACTTTTTTTTTTAAATTAAATTTTACTCCATTTCTAAAATTTAAATGTTAATACACATACACATAAGCATTTTGGATATTATTAAACATATGTTGCATTCTCCCCTAAAACTAGAAATGTAATTTAGTTCTAACTATATTTTCATTTGAAAATGAATAAAGACTATGCTTAGCCAAGCAAAAAGTTCATAATATTGAAAATTAACTAGTGTAAGAGCCAAACATGTGCAATCATTGGCCTGTGGGGGCGCCTGTGTGTGTTAGGCCTGTGGGGGCGCCTGTGTGTGTTAGGCCTGTGGGGGCGCCTGTGTGTGTTAGGCCTGTGGGGGCGCCTGTGTGTTAGGTCTGTGGAGGGTAGGTCTAGCATAAATAGGCTCTCTCTAATGAGCCATGCAGGTGTGCAACCCGGTAGGGGCCAATGGTTTTTGACCGCTACTTTTATGGAGTTTTGTTGTCTTGATTTATGCATAAATAAACATTGATTCTTATTATACAATGAACATCTGTGGACTTATGCACGCTACGGTTAAAGCTGACACAATAGCCATCTGAAGCGCGTCACCATAGCGACCGGTGTTTGGGCACATCTCAGTGGCACAGGTACAGGTTGGCCACTACACAAGTCAAAAACCAGGCTATTTGGATATTGGATACTGAGAGAAAGAAGGACGAACGGCGCTGCGGAGGCGATTCTTGGAGAAGTCACCGTGAGGATGCGGAGGAGCAGTCTGCTGAAGTTGGAGCGACGCTACTGCTACATGGGAGCTAAGTCAAGCTAAAGTTCTTCAGACTGCAGCAGCATCCTGTGAATATCATGACACCCGTGCCTCCTTTGCAACGAAACTGAGGTACTGTTACGTGTGGTTGCCGTTACGTTAGTGATCGTGTGTCTACGTGCGCTTGGAACTGAACTTAAACGTTGAAATCTACTGTCGTCATGGAAACGCGCCGCGCTGTCTCGGAGGTTGCGGCTGGAACTGTTCAAGGCTCTGCTACAAAATCTCGCAGTGTAATAGACTCCAAATCACGCACCACCAGTAAACGTGAGATTAAGAGCCAAGGGACTCGCTGATAGACTGGACAGTTGCAAAGAGAAAGAAAAGGTTTGCTAAATAAGGCATCTAATGTAAAACGGACAAATTAAAAGACTAATTGAAAATTGTGAACATGATGTGGCCCAGGATGCTCTCAATGAACTGGTTCAGGTGTAAAATGAGGCTAAATGTATTCATGAATCTTTGTTAAAGTTTTTACCTGAAGAAGAACGTGATAAACATAATATTTGGTTTGAGGCCAAAAGGCTTGGGATTGATGACTGTATTACTGAGGCTAGGACTTGGGTTTTAAGTCACAGTAAGACATATAAGGAAACTAATGATGCTAAAATTCTATGTGATGTTGGGCCCAGTGACAGTGTGTCTAATATTGGTTGTTCAAGCTTGGCACATAAAAGTGTTTGTGGGGCATCTAACATATCGACTACATCATCTGCTCGTATACTGGCAAGAGCAGAACGTGCTGCACTGGAGGCAAAGGCTGCAGCCTTAAGAGAGCGCCATGTGTTGGATGAGCAGGAGGAGCAGTTGGAGAGGAGAAGGTCTGAGCTGAGGAGGAGAAAGGAACAGCTGGACATGGAGGCTGAGATAGCTTCTGTTACGGCTAGGTTAGCGGTGCTGCGAGCTGCAGAGGAAGAGTTATCAGAACTGCAGAATTATAGAATTAAAGGAACTGATCATGTTCCTTCTTTTAATCTTCTGGCAAATGAATACCAGCCTACAGCTCAGACACAAAGTATAAGAGCCACAGAAGTGGAGGCTCAGACTGTGTTCTCACAACATGCTTCTTATGGAGGTGACATTTTTAGCATTATGCAGAAACAAAATGAAATCACGGCTGCATTGGTGCAACAGCAGCTTTCTCTCTCTCTACCACAAAGAACTATTCCTACTTTTGATGGCGATCCATTACGTTTCAGATCATTCATGAAGGCATTTGAACATTTAGTGGAGAGGAAGGCTGGACAGGCTGACTGTTTGTACTTTTTAGGGCAGTTCACTCATGGTCAGTCACATGACCTGGTGCAGAGATGTCAGCATATGAATCCAGAAGAGGGTTATCTCAAGGCAAAGGGACTTCTTCAGGAACATTTTGGAGATCCATTCAAGATTACCTCTGCATATCTGAAGAAGGCATTGGAATGGCCTACAATTAAGTCAGAGGATGCCAATGCTCTCCAGGACTACTCTCTGTTTCTTCGTGGTTGCTTCAATGCAATGAAAGACCTTGCATATATGGAGGAATTAAATCTGCCACAAAATATGCGGACTATTGTTTCTAAACTTCCATTTAAGTTGAAGGAGCAATGGAGAAAAACTTAATATGGAATAATAGAAGACAGTAACAGAAAGGCTATGTTTGAGGATTTGGTCATATTCATTGAGCGTTGTGTTAAGATTCTTTCTGATCCAATATTTGGAAACATTCAGGAATCTCAGTCTTTCTCCAGAACCAGCGCTCAGTCTAGAAGTGGAGGCAATAGACATGTGTTTGCCACCACTGTGACTTCTATGGGTCAGCAGGAGAATTCTGTCAATGGTACTGGTGGAGTATGTATCTTCTGTGGTGATGGTCATTCACTTGAGGAGTGTGGGACATTCAAGGAAAAGCATCATAAGGAGAAGATTGAGTGGCTTAGGGAGGAGAGACGGTGCTTTGCATGTTTGTGTGTTGGTCACATTAGTAGGCAATGTGAGCAGAGACTGTCATGCATAGTTTGTGAACGAGTGCACCCCACTGTCCTGCACAGAACTGTAAGATGCAGTGCCACCCGGGAACCTGAGAAGGATCCCAAAACATGTGGGCATACAGGGGCCGGTGCAGGCCAGTGTGCACTCTCTATTCTCCCAGTGAAGATTAAGGCTCCAGGAGGAAAGGTTATTGAGACATATGCCTTTTTAGATCCTGGGAGCTCCGCCACTTTCTGCTCAGAACAGCTGATGCAGAAGCTGCAGTGCACGGGTAAAAGAACAGCTTTTCTCCTGCGCACTATGGGCCATGAATCCGTGGTCCCTGCCTTCTCTCTCTGTGGCCTGGAGGTATCTAGTGTGGAGAACAATGACTTTTATCCTCTTCCACAGGGTACTCACACAGAGCAAAATGCCTGTCACTGTCAATAGTTTAATAAGTTCTCAGAACTTGTCAAAGTTTCCCCACCTTTCTGAAGGGAACATCCCAAGCATAGATGCAGATGTAAACCTCCTAATAGGCACTGATGCCCCTTGGTTGATGGAACCACAGAAGGTGATTAAGAGCAAAGGAAGTGGCCCATACGCAGCCAAAACACTACTAGGATGGGTTGTTAGTGGTCCTCTGGATAACAGTTTTTAGAGTGATATTCAAAGGTGGATTGAATGCAATATGAACTGTAATGTGTATGATTTATTTGGCTCTTTGTGTGTAATGATTGTAATTGTTATGTTTTGTTATCATAATCAATTAGGGGCCGGAATGTAAGAGCCAAACATGTGCAATCATTGGCCTGTGGGGGCCCCTGTGTGTGTTAGGGCTGTGGAGGGTAGGTCTAGCATAAGGCTCTCTCTAATGAGCCATGCAGGTGTGCAACCCGGTAGGGGCCAATGGTTTTTGACCGCTACTTTTATGGAGTTTTGTTGTCTTGATTTATGCATAAATAAACATTGTTTTTTATTATACAATGAACATGTGTGGACTTATGCACGCTACGGTTAAAGCTGACACAATAGCCATCTGAAGCGCGTCACCATAGCGACCGGTGTTTGGGCACATCTCAGTGGCACAGGTACAGGTTGGCCACTACAACTAGGTTATGTATGTGTATGTATGAGAAAAAAGGGGAATATGACAGGAGCCAAATGTGATGTACAAAAGCGTAACTAGCAAAAACACATATTTTGACTTACCCTTCTCTTTTATTTTTCTAAATTTGGTTGTTCTTGGTGTATCAGCGTTTGATGTAGCAGACTGTAAATGTCTTTTCTTTTGACGAGACGCCATAATGTCAAACGATAGGCTAACTATCAGGCATCCTGATCCGCGCCTAAAATATGATTGTCCAATCAGGTGCTGCAATCATTGCAGCTCTGTACCTATCAGCCAATCAGAACAGTTGGTCTTGCTCTTGTGCATGTAGTCCTCGTTTGAAGAAAAACAGCAGCTAAAGATGACGTCCTTCAAGTTCGCAATTTTTTACCTGCACAATAAAAGCTTGAAAGTGGAGAACACAGGAATAATTCTAAAGAGTTCAGGAAGATTTAAGCAGGTAACCTCCCTGCCTGATTAAGACGACGACAATTGGATAGAACTTAAATGTGGGTCACGAAAGGAACCCAGCAGGACAGATCCTGCTAAAGTGCTGCTATTTGGAGGTAAGTTAGCTTAAGCTTTCTAAGTTCATTTTATTTCACGATGAAATATTTATGCTCCACCGGTCGTTCCTTTTAGATGTATTTCAAGAACTTGTTAGAAAAAAGAATCTTTTCCTCCTGGGTAAAAACATTTGGGCCACTGAAGACACGTGTGTAGCTGCAAATGCCGAACGGTCTGAAGAAACATCTTGTCAGGTGAGACATAGGCTATATCCACACGAAGACAAAACGCTTATAATTTCAGAAACTTTTTCTGTAAACACGGAGTTAGCTCAGTAAATGTGTGCGTCCATATGAATGTAGTCAATACGCCTGAAAACGCTGTGAAACTATGCCAGACCTGTTGGTGGCGCTGTGACGCAATGACGGGATCAAGCCCAAACCTCCGTGACGGGAACTGGGCATGCACAGAATTTAGTAAACAGACAACATGGCGAGCGGGCGAGCTGGTACTACATTAGTATGGACGGACGATGAGGTTGAACTGTTGCTTCGGGTCACACTGGATTACAAAACCAACAAGCTACATTGTTGTTGTCATTATTTTCTGAGTGCGGCGCATGCTGCTTTAACAAGAGGCGGGCGATGAAGCGTCTCAGATACATTGCGGAGAGGCAGTAACCACGGAGCGGCATATACGGAGTTTTGAAATCTTTCCACTCTGGGACCTAGTTTCAAAAATGTTCGTTTACACCCCCCCAAAACGCCGGCCTCGTATGGACGATACACTGGATTGACAAAGTATTTTTGCGTTTAGGCCTGAGATTGACTTCGTGTGGACAGGGCCATACAGAACAGGGTATGTTTGCTTTTGTTTTGTTAGGGTCTATCAAACGCATACTTTTTATTTTTTAAGTTGGGCTATACTAACTTGTAATGAAAATCGTACTGAAGGAGCCCCCAGGTGGGCACTGACAAATATTATTGTGTCAACAAAACATATATTTATAATGAACTCACGTGGGTGATTTTTAATAAACAAGCGGCCTTACCGCTTGTGTATTGAACTGAACTTATGCTTTGCATTGAAAATCTTCAACTATTTCCATACATTGTTTTCTAGGCAAAGAAAAAGGCCCAAACAAAGAAAAATGATAACAAGACTGCAAGTACAAGAAACGTAATTGAGGGACTAAAAAAACACTTTCTCAAAAAAGAAACCTTGAACAATCTGAGGATCTGTTTGGCAGCAGTTCAGAGGAGTGTTCGTCACCTGTGCAGGGTTAGTCTAATAGTTGTGATGTTAATGATACGGACCTGTGGTATTAAAGTATGTCCATTTTCTTTATTCTCAGTCAAAGAAGGCTATGCGTATGGCCTCAACAACTCTCCCCACGAGCTCGCAGTTCTGATGAAACCCACACAGAGCCCACATCATTCAGACCATGTATGTATTAATACATACATCATTTACAACATGTGTTACTCTTTACAGGAGGAGAGTATGATTGTGTTGCTTCAGTTGTGAGGGAGGCAATATACTGCAGCGCCTTCCATGGAAGAGACTGTTTCATGTCTTCGTGGTAAGTTTAGTGGCTTATCAAAATGTAACCTATATTGTTCATAATGTTTGCATAAATATAATTTAGATTTGTTGGTTTTTTTGAAGAACTGCCTGAAACCTTAAAATGAATGAAGGAGTGTGTGGAGCGGATCAGAGCATCTGTCTCAGTGTCTCGCACCCAGTCACCAATGTCCACAATGTCCACAATGTCTCGATGGTCTTTGTCATCTGACAATGAAGTTGAAATGGTTTGGTGTTGTTGGTGTTGTTGGTGTTGTTGGTGTTGTTGGTGTTGTTGGTGTTGTTGGTGTTGTTGGTGGTGTTGGTGTTGTTGTTGGTGGTGTTGGTGTTGGTGTTGGTGTTGTTGGTGGTGGTGGTGTTGGTGTTGGTGGTGTTGGTGTTGGTGTTGGTGGTGTTGGTGTTGGTGGTGTTGGTGTTGTTGGTGTTGGTGGTGTTGGTGTTGGTGTTGGTGTTGTTGGTGTTGGTGTTGTTGGTGTTGTTGGTGTTGGTGGTGTTGGTGGTGTTGTTGGTGTTGTTGGTGTTGTTGGTGTTGGTGTTGTTGGTGTTGTTGGTGTTGTTGGTGTTGGTGGTGTTGTTGGTGTTGTTGGTGTTGGTGTTGGTGGTGTTGGTGTTGGTGTTGGTGTTGTGTTGGTGTTGGTGTTGGTGTTGGTGTTGGTGTTGGTGTTGTTGGTGTTGGTGTTGGTGTTGTTGGTGTTGGTGTTGGTGTTGGTGGTGTTGTTGTTGGTGTTGGTGTTGGTGTTGGTGTTGGTGTTGTTGGTGTTGGTGTTGGTGTTGTTGGTGTTGGTGTTGGTGTTGGTGTTGGTGTTGTTGTTGTTGGTGTTGGTGTTGTTGGTGGTGTTGTTGGTGTTGTTGGTGTTGTTGGTGTTGGTGTTGGTGTTGTTGGTGGTGTTGGTGTTGGTGGTGTTGGTGTTGGTGGTGTTGGTGTTGGTGGTGTTGGTGTTGTTGGTGGTGTTGGTGTTGTTGGTGTTGTTGGTGTTGTTGGTGTTGTTGGTGTTGTTGGTGTTGTTGGTGTTGTTGGTGTTGGTGTTGGTGGTGTTGTTGGTGTTGTTGGTGTTGTTGGTGTTGGTGGTGTTGTTGGTGTTGGTGTTGTTGGTGTTGTTGGTGTTGTTGTTGTTGGTGTTGTTGGTGTTGTTGGTGTTGTTGGTGTTGGTGTTGTTGGTGTTGTTGGTGTTGTTGGTGTTGTTGTGTTGGTGTTGGTGTTGGTGGTTGTTGGTGTTGTTGTTGTTGGTGTTGTTGTTGGTGTTGTTGGTGTTGTTGGTGTTGTTGGTGTTGTTGTTGGTGTTGTTGTTGGTGTTGTTGGTGTTGTTGTTGGTGTTGTTGGTGTTGTTGGTGTTGTTGGTGTTGTTGGTGTTGTTGGTGTTGTTGTTGGTGTTGTTGGTGTTGTTGGTGTTGTTGGTGTTGTTGGTGTTGTTGGTGTTGTTGGTGTTGTTGGTGTTGGTGTTGGTGTTGGTGTTGGTGTTGTTGGTGTTGGTGTTGGTGTTGGTGTTGGTGTTGTTGGTGTTGGTGTTGGTGTTGTTGGTGTTGGTGTTGTTGGTGTTGGTGTTGTTGGTGTTGGTGTTGGTGTTGTTGGTGTTGTTGGTGTTGTTGGTGTTGTTGTTGGTGTTGTTGGTGTTGTTGGTGTTGTTGGTGTTGTTGGTGTTGTTGGTGTTGTTGGTGTTGTTGGTGTTGGTGTTGGTGTTGGTGTTGGTGTTGGTGGTGTTGTTGGTGTTGGTGTTGGTGTTGGTGTTGGTGTTGTTGGTGTTGGTGTTGGTGTTGTTGTTGGTGTTGTTGGTGTTGGTGTTGTTGGTGTTGGTGTTGGTGTTGTTGGTGTTGGTGTTGTTGGTGTTGGTGTTGTTGGTGTTGGTGTGTTGGTGTTGGTGTTGGTGTTGGTGTTGTTGGTGTTGGTGTTGTTGGTGTTGGTGTTGGTGTTGGTGTTGGTGTTGGTGTTGTTGGTGTTGTTGGTGTTGTTGGTGTTGGTGTTGGTGTTGGTGTTGTTGGTGTTGTTGGTGTTGGTGTTGGTGTTGGTGTTGTTGGTGTTGGTGTTGGTGTTGTTGGTGTTGTTGGTGTTGGTGTTGTTGGTGTTGGTGTTGTTGGTGTTGTTGGTGTTGGTGTTGTTGGTGTTGTTGGTGTTGGTGTTGTTGGTGTTGTTGGTGTTGTTGGTGTTGGTGTTGTTGGTGTTGTTGGTGTTGTTGGTGTTGTTGGTGTTGGTGTTGTTGGTGTTGGTGTTGGTGTTGGTGTTGTTGGTGTTGGTGTTGGTGTTGGTGTTGGTGTTGGTGTTGGTGTTGTTGGTGTTGGTGTTGTTGGTGTTGGTGTTGGTGTTGGTGTTGGTGGTGTTGTTGGTGTTGGTGTGTGGTGTGTGGTGTGGTGTTGTTGGTGTTGGTGTTGTTGGTGTTGGTGGTGTTGTTGGTGTTGGTGTTGTTGGTGTTGGTGGTGTTGTTGGTGTTGGTGTTGTTGGTGTTGGTGTTGTTGGTGTTGGTGTTGTTGGTGTTGGTGTTGTTGGTGTTGGTGTTGTTGGTGTTGGTGTTGTTGGTGTTGGTGTTGGTGTTGTTGGTGTTGGTGTTGGTGGTGTTGTTGGTGTTGGTGTTGTTGGTGTTGGTGTTGGTGTTGTTGGTGTTGGTGTTGGTGTTGTTGGTGTTGGTGTTGTTGGTGTTGGTGTTGTTGGTGTTGGTGTTGTTGGTGTTGGTGTTGGTGTTGGTGGTGTTGTTGGTGTTGTTGGTGTTGGTGTTGTTGGTGTTGTTGGTGTTGGTGTTGTTGTTGTTGGTGTTGTTGGTGTTGGTGTTGGTGTTGTTGGTGTTGGTGTTGGTGTTGGTGTTGGTGTTGTTGGTGTTGGTGTTGGTGTTGTTGGTGTTGTTGGTGTTGGTGTTGGTGTTGTTGGTGTTGGTGTTGTTGGTGTTGGTGTTGGTGTTGGTGGTGTTGTTGGTGTTGGTGTTGTTGGTGTTGGTGTTGTTGGTGTTGTTGGTGTTGTTGGTGTTGTTGGTGTTGGTGTTGGTGGTGTTGTTGGTGTTGGTGTTGTTGGTGTTGGTGTTGTTGGTGTTGGTGTTGTTGGTGTTGGTGTTGTTGGTGTTGTTGGTGTTGGTGTTGTTGGTGTTGGTGTTGGTGTTGTTGGTGTTGGTGTTGGTGGTGTTGGTGTTGTTGGTGTTGTTGGTGTTGTTGTTGGTGTTGTTGTTGGTGTTGGTGTTGGTGTTGGTGTTGGTGTTGGTGTTGTTGGTGTTGGTGTTGGTGTTGGTGTTGTTGTTGTTGGTGTTGGTGTTGGTGTTGGTGTTGGTGTTGGTGTTGGTGTTGTTGGTGTTGGTGTTGGTGTTGGTGGTGTTGTTGGTGTTGGTGTTGTTGGTGTTGGTGTTGTTGGTGTTGGTGGTGTTGTTGGTGTTGGTGTTGTTGGTGTTGGTGTTGTTGGTGTTGGTGTTGTTGGTGTTGGTGTTGTTGGTGTTGGTGTTGTTGGTGTTGTTGGTGTTGGTGTTGTTGGTGTTGGTGTTGGTGTTGTTGGTGTTGTTGGTGTTGGTGTTGTTGGTGTTGGTGTTGTTGGTGTTGGTGTTGGTGTTGTTGTTGTTGGTGTTGTTGTTGGTGTTGTTGGTGTTGTTGTTGGTGTTGTTGGTGTTGTTGGTGTTGGTGTTGGTGTTGTTGGTGTTGGTGTTGGTGTTGGTGTTGGTGTTGTTGGTGTTGGTGTTGGTGTTGGTGTTGTTGGTGTTGGTGTTGGTGTTGTTGGTGTTGGTGTTGGTGTTGGTGTTGTTGGTGTTGTTGGTGTTGTTGGTGTTGGTGTTGGTGTTGTTGGTGTTGGTGTTGGTGGTGTTGTTGGTGTTGGTGTTGTTGGTGTTGGTGGTGTTGGTGTTGGTGTTGTTGGTGTTGGTGGTGTTGGTGTTGGTGTTGTTGGTGTTGGTGTTGGTGGTGTTGGTGTTGGTGTTGTTGGTGTTGGTGTTGTTGGTGTTGGTGTTGTTGGTGTTGGTGTTGTTGGTGTTGTTGTTGTTGGTGTTGTTGGTGTTGTTGGTGTTGTTGGTGTTTGTTGGTGTTGGTGTTGTTGGTGTTGTTGGTGTTGGTGTTGGTGTTGGTGTTGTTGGTGGTGTTGGTGTTGTTGGTGTTGTTGGTGTTGGTGTTGTTGGTGTTGTTGGTGTTGTTGGTGTTGGTGTTGTTGGTGTTGGTGTTGGTGTTGTTGGTGTTGTTGGTGTTGGTGGTGTTGGTGGTGTTGGTGTTGGTGTTGTTGGTGTTGTTGGTGTTGGTGGTGTTGGTGGTGTTGGTGTTGTTGGTGTTGGTGTTGTTGGTGTTGGTGTTGTTGGTGTTGTTGGTGTTGGTGTTGGTGGTGTTGGTGTTGTTGGTGTTGTTGGTGTTGTTGGTGTTGTTGGTGTTGTTGGTGTTGGTGGTGTTGGTGTTGGTGGTGTTGGTGGTGTTGGTGTTGTTGGTGTTGTTGGTGTTGGTGGTGTTGGTGGTGTTGGTGGTGTTGTTGTTGGTGTTGGTGGTGGTGGTGTTGTTGGTGGTGTTGGTGTTGTTGGTGTTGTTGGTGGTGTTGTTGGTGGTGTTGGTGTTGGTGTTGGTGTTGGTGTTGGTGTTTGTTGGTGTTGGTGTTGTTGGTGTTGGTGTTGGTGTTGGTGTTGGTGTTGTTGGTGTTGTTGGTGTTGTTGGTGTTGGTGGTGTTGGTGTTGTTGGTGTTGTTGGTGGTGTTGGTGTTGTTGGTGTTGTTGGTGTTGTTGGTGTTGGTGTTGTTGGTGTTGTTGGTGTTGTTGGTGTTGGTGGTGTTGGTGGTGTTGGTGTTGTTGGTGTTGTTGGTGTTGTTGGTGTTGGTGGTGTTGGTGTTGGTGTTGGTGTTGGTGTTGGTGTTGGTGTTGTTGGTGTTGGTGTTGGTGTTGGTGTTGGTGTTGTTGGTGTTGGTGTTGGTGTTGGTGTTGGTGTTGTTGGTGTTGTTGGTGGTGTTGGTGTTGTTGGTGTTGGTGTTGGTGTTGGTGTTGGTGTTGTTGGTGTTGGTGTTGGTGTTGGTGTTTGTTGGTGTTGGTGTTGTTGGTGTTGTTGGTGTTGGTGTTGTTGGTGTTGGTGTTGTTGTTGGTGTTGTTGGTGTTGGTGTTGTTGGTGTTGGTGTTGTTGGTGTTGGTGTTGTTGGTGTTGTTGGTGTTGTTGGTGTTGGTGTTGTTGGTGTTGTTGTTGTTGTTGTTGGTGTTGTTGGTGTTGGTGTTGTTGGTGTTGTTGGTGTTGGTGTTGGTGTTGTTGGTGTTGGTGTTGTTGGTGTTGGTGTTGGTGTTGTTGGTGTTGTTGGTGTTGGTGTTGGTGTTGGTGTTGGTGTTGGTGTTGGTGTTGTTGTTGTTGGTGTTGGTGGTGTTGGTGTTGGTGTTGTTGTTGTTGTTGGTGTTGTTGGTGTTGGTGTTGTTGTTTGTTGTTGTTGTTGTTGGTGTTTGTTGGTGTTGTTGTTGTTGTTTGTTGTTGGTGTTGGTGGTGTTGTTGTGCAACTTCAATTAAAACTGCTCACTTTTATGTCATCCCACAGCACTTCTTGCCTGGAAACAATGTTAGCGTTTCTAAAAGGGCTTTTCATCGCCTGAATCGATCTCGCACCATTTTCACACAGGAATTAGCTGTCCTTGTTTTCACGAGGGAGATATTAGCAACATCAACTCTAAAGGCGCGTTCAGACCAAAAGCTTCAAAAAGCTTTTGACGCGCTTCAACTGACGCCGGGATAGTTTTGTCATTTTGGTGCTTGAAGCTTTTGACGCGAGTGACGCGCCTGACGCCGGTGGGAGGAGCTTCTCTGTTGTCTGTAGTCAGGACAGCGGTGGATTTTTCAATGAGCAGCGAGCCTTTATTTGTTATATAAAGCAAAATAACGTTGTTGTAGGGCTTCAACAAAACATGTTCTGGGTTCACCACAGACTTGAGAGGCTGCAGTGTTTGCAGAGTTCCGTCATTTACTCCAGGAGCTGCGTACGGAGGAGTTTCGCTTTCAGCGGTACTTCCGCATGTCACTCGCCCAGTCTGAGTTCTCAAACCCCGGCTCTCGCCTCTCCCCGCCTCGCTCTCGCCTCTCCCTGCCTCTCCCTGCCTCTCCCCGGCTCTCGCTCGCCTCTCCCTGCCTCTCCCCGGCTCTCGCTCGCCTCTCCCTGCCTCTCCCAGGCTCTCGCCCGCCCGGAGCTGCCTTGCTCTGAGCCAGACTCATCGTCAGCCTGTTCTTATTTTAAATAAACTAGGTTTACTACACAGCATGTGTACAATGATTTTTGTTACTCAGAATTTTACTACTCATACAAATAATATTACTAATAACAATAATGACAATAAAACAGCAGCAGCAGATACATGACTTCTCTCCATGACAGAGACAGACCCTCTGCTGCTGCTGCTGCTCGTCTCCTGATTGGTTGAAGCCCGCGTCAAAGCTTCAAAAGCTCAGCTTTGCTCAACTTTGGCGTCAAAGGGATTGTTGTGATACGCGAGCGTTTCGCGCGTCAAAAGCTTCAAGTGAGCGCGTAGTACGCGCGACTCTTGAAGCTTTTGACGCGCGTCAAGTGACGCCGGGGCTCTCGGCTTCACCTGACGCGCTTCACCATTCACTTTCAATGGAAACCTGACGCTTTTGACGCCGAAGTTAAGTCCGGTGTGAACGCCCCTTAACTGGAAAATCAGGAAGAGGGCAAACGATGAAGGATCAACTTGATGCTACAAAAGTGCAAGCCATAACAGGTGAGTGACCAAATCTGATTCAAGTCTCATTATATTTACAAAACAGATTGGAAATATTTTGTTTTTTCAGATGCAGTTATTGAGCAGTTTCCAGGAACCACAGTTTCCGAGGTTCGTGCAGCACTAAGACGGAAGTGCAACAATGAGCAGTTCTACCAAAAGAAGGAATGAACACTTATTTTATGTATACACTGTGTGTGTGTATGTATACACTGTGTGCATGTATGTATACACTGTGTGTGTGTTGGTCTTAGCTAGTTCCGGTGAGAAACGGCGACATGACCCGACCGCATCCGGGCCCTGTCTTTCGCTGTTGATTGACGCTAAACTTGGAGGTTGTTTCTGGTCCGTTTCAAGCTCTCTGCTGTCGACTATATGCCTCAAGTAAAGCACACACCTCTTGTTTTTTCTCCTCAAAAGTGACAATAGTGTGCGAGTGTGTCTTTGTGTGTGAGCGAGTATCTGTTTTTGTGAAAAAGCACTAGGTTCTCATGTCAAATCAATCTTAAAAACATTAAAGGCGCGAGCTATTCCACACTATTTTACGCCCATTCTCCCAATAAATATTGAATTCTACCCCAGTTGAAATAAGTTTGAACACAATAGCTGATGGTCTGAAGTAGTTTGTCTCTGACACGTAGCAGGCAAAATTAGGCACTCGCCCACACAAAAAGACACGCACACACTTGTCACCCCGAGGAGCTTAAACGAGGTGTGTGTGCTTTACTTGAGGCATTTAGTTGACAGCGGAGAACTTGAAACGGACCAGAAACTATCTCCATGAATTACCCGCAATAGACGGGGACCGGATGCGGTCGACTACTTGGACGTGAGATTATATATATATATGTGTTTTTTTTTTTAAATGTATGCATTTTATTTGAGTTCAAATTGCACTATTTCTGTAAAACACTGTTGTTGCAACTGTTATGTGCAAGCACATAATAAAGTTAATGTTGCATTGTATCAATGTGTTTTTTAGCTGTATAATACAGAAAAAAGGGATATTTTAAATATATTTTTATATATACTGTAGTTAACAGAGTATACTGTAAGTTAATTGAAAATATACTGTAAGAGAACTGCAAGTATGTTATGAATATACTTGAAGTTGCATTGAAATGTACTACTCAATCATGAATTAAATACCCAAAAATCAAGTATACTTAAAGTATAATAAGTGCACTTAAAGTTGTTCCATTTTAGTACACATTAGTATATTAAGTATACTTTCAATTTACTTTAAGTTCTATTTAAATTCAACTTAAATCTATTAAGCACAAAATAAGTTGTTTCAAAATAGCACACTTAAAGTTTATTTTACTGTTATTTCTGAAATATATTTAGTATGCTAAATTTCAGTATACTAAGTATATTTTTTTTCACTTGGGTGGATGCCCTGCCAAGAGTGTGCAGCGGGTGGACAGTGAGACATTTGGAGTGAGCAATACCATAGTCCATCGGTCCATGCGTTAATGGGGTGTGTGTCTGTGTGAGGCTTACACACATCTAATGAAATAACACATTGCTTTACCAGATGTGAATGAGGAATACAAATAGCCGTGCGTAATCACGCAGCCTGCCACAGCAACAGCTGGGTCACACTTCCCTGTCGCGTAAAAAAATGTGTATAGAGCCTTTCACTTCACAAAGCACTTCACATTTAAAAACATACAGCCCACTGTAACTAACATTAAAAAAAAACTGAGGGTCCTTTAACATATTTCTCAGATGCTCTGACCACACAAACCTCTCAGTAACTTTCTGGTCGATCTCCCCCACTGAGCACTTCACCAACATTATTCTCTTCAAGGACAAACACTACAGACAAATGAAAGACACAGCTCTGAGAGCAGCCTACGCCCCAACTGTGGCGCCCTGAGCCTGGGTCTGAACAGGACGTTTTGGGCCCCTCTAATCCAAACAGACCATATATATCAGCTACTACGGAACATTTATATTAGTTTGAAGTATGTTTTGGGTGTGTATAAATGTATGTAACTCCTGGATTTATGGAATTCTTTAGTTTTTCTTACTGTATCGACCACAACAATTTTGACATCATTCATATATTGTGATGTTTGTTGTAGAAAAGCACACACACAGTTTGAGCAACATTAAAGGGTGGTTCTAGTGCGGCTGGTTTTAAGGCTGATATATGAACATGTTGGAATCATCACACACAGGATTCTAATCCCTCAGCTCCACATTTATGAAGGAGTGTGGCGCCCCCTGCTGCTGTGCTGCAGGACTACAGTCACACTGAGAGGCACATTTGAAAGTGAGTGTCTTTGGCTGAAATTGTCCATTGAATGTATTTAGAGAAGGCCTCGTTCAACAACAGAGACATCACTCCTGAGTCCTGTCCTGTTCTGGTCCTGATGAACATCTGAAAGCATCAGTTACACATTTGTGACGACGTTTCTTATCTGCAAACTCAGCAGCGTTGGAGCGACAGTGAGAGCCAAAGAACCATCATAAACCTGTGATGGAAGAATAACTGCTGTCAGCTGCTCAACGAGGACACTGCTGTAGGATCTGGGACATGCTTGGTCTGAAATGGACTTTAGTGTGTGTGTGTGTGTGTGTGTGTGTGTGTGTGTGTGTGTGTGTGTGTGTGTGTGTGTGTGTGTGTGTGTGTGTGTGTGTGTGTGTGTGTGTGTGTGTGTGTATGTGTGTGTGTGTGTATGTGTGCACTTGTTTTCAACTCCTGGTGGGTTCCATAACCTGAGATTCCACTCACGTCATGGGGACTGGTTTTACGTGGTGGGGCCCGAACACCGGACCCCACTGGTCCAAGCTTAATAATCATGGGTAATGCTTTTCTAACAGTCCTTATGCAGTCTCTGTAAAAATATGGAAAGGACCCCTGGAGGTTTACTTTCCTGAAAAAAGTGTGTTATGTGTCGGAACCCTGGTGGTGGGTTGCGGGATATCAAGGAGGGGCACACTGGGGCAATTTCAGTCCAGCAGGCTGGAGCCAATCATGGAGCAGCACAACAGAGGAAGTCAGGTGTCAGGCTAGAAAAGGTGCAAGTGTGTGGTTCATTAGGCTGCAAGAAATCACAGAGCAGCACACTGAAGCGCACGCTTACAAACCACTGGTAAGTGCTGACTACAAGTCATGACTTCAAATTGTTATATAGAATTATTACAAATTATTTGTTGTTTGTGCAGCTTAGTCAAGAGTCCCTAATTGATGAAGTCGACTCAGATTCTGACGATTTAACTGTCAAGAAGAAACCTGTAAAAAAGTATGGAAAAAGAAAAATCAAAAACACTTTTCTTCAAGACTCGGAAAGTGACGAACCAAAGGCAAATAAGATTGTTATCATGCAGCTGCAAAAGAAGAAAAATGGGGGGCGAGTTTACAGCAAGAGACACTTCTGCCTCTACTGTTCAATGTCCTGCCACAAAATGTCCCGTCATTTGACTAGAAAACATGGAAATGAAAGTGACGTAGCCAGAGCATTGGCTCTACCTGTGAAATCTAAAGCACGTAAACTTCAGTTTGATTTGATCAGTAATAGTGGAAACCGTGAGCACAATTTTGAGGTTTTAAAGGCCGGCATTGGAACTTTAGTCCCAGCTAAACAGCCAAATTGCCCAGTTTTAATCCAGTGAGTTTTTGCACTGTATAGACTGTGGGGCATTGCTTAAGCGAAAGTTGCTGTGGAGGCATGTGGCCAGGTGCCGGCTTTCACAGAAAGATGCCCAGGCTAAACCAGGCTAAACCAGGTAGAAGTAGGGTCCAGTCCCTCTGCTCCCTAGCCCAGCCTGTACCGGAGGGCATCAGCAAAAAGCTGTGGTCTTTAATTTCGGCAATGCATCAGGATGAGGTCACGGGTGTTGTCAAAGCAGAAAAGGGGATTCTGAGACTCGGAGAGCACCTGTACTTAAAACACGGGCATGATAAGACTAAGCATGATTACATTAGGCAGAAAATGAGAGAAGTCGGTAGGTTAATTAACGAAGCAAAAACCGCAGGGAAACTGAAAACAATTAAGGATTTCTTTATTCCTTCCAACTTTAACCATGTGATTGATGCAGTCAGGTCTGTGGCTGGATATGATGAGGAAACAAATCAATACAAGACTCCATCCTTGGCCCTCAAACTCGGCCATAGCCTCAGAAAGCTAGCAGATATTCTTGAATGTGACTCAAAAATGGAGCATTGTGTTGATGAACTATTTATTAAAAACCTCCAACGAAGCCGGCTGCTTTTTGAGAAGAGGTGGGACGTCTGTGTTTCTTCTGCTGCCCTACAGACCCTCCGGCAAGCCAAGTGGAACACTCCGGACCTGCTCCCTCTGACTGAGGACGTTAGAGCCATGCATGCACATATTGAGGTATGTCGACCTGAATATGTGCAAACCCTAATAAGTGAGCCAACGTCTAAGCATTGGTCTAAACTGGCAGTTTTGACTCTTTGTGAGGTCATTATTTTCAATCGAAGAAGGGAAGGTGAGGTTTCAAAGATGCCTCTGACAGCCTTTACCTTAAGAAGTAAGACTGGGATCCATTCTGACATTGCTCTGGGACTGTCCCAACTTGAGAAAAAGCTGTGTCAGCATTTTCAACGCATTGAAATTAAAGGGAAAAGAAGTCGGAAAGTGCCGGTTCTTTTGACTCCTGAAATGATTGCTTCGATGGAGGTGCTGGTGGAGAACAGAAGGGCCTGTTCCATCTCTGACCATAACCCATACTTCTTTTCCCGCCCGGGCGCAGACACCCACATCAGGGGATCAGACTCCCTACGCCATTCGCATCCACAGGCAATATTACAGACTACCAGAGGGGACACTGGAGCTGGCCAAAATCAGCAAAGTGTTGATGGCCATGGAGCAGGGAAGAGTGACGGAATTCGAAGGAAAGAGCCTCGACCAGATACAAATTGAGCCTGAAGGTAATTCTTGATATTATTAAAATATGTATGATTTTTTTCCCCTAAAGGCCACTTGTATTTTTATTTTCTGTGCGACAGGGAGAGCAGTAGAGATCCTCTCACAAACGGACGGGCTAAAAGAAACTTCAAGCGGAGAACCTTCAACCATTCATCCAGATGCACCCCATGGTAGTGGCAGTGCCCCTTCTGGTAAGTGTACCAGGTGGGGGATTACAGCCAGGCTGCTTGGTCCTAACCCTGGGAGTGTATATTGCTAATATATTTTTATTTCTCTCCCTAGAACGTGTAAGAAAGCCATGGTCTGCATCTGAGGTGAAGGCTGTGGAGAAGACCATGACACCTTTCATACAGACTGGAAAGGTCCCTGGGAAGTCTCACTGCCTGGCCTGCATTAATGCCTCACCAGATGAC